ACAGCCATATTGGTCTAGAAATGTTAATTTTTTTCATTTTTATTTTTTTTTCCATGTATACAGGGGTAACACATCGTACTAAATATGTAAGGTCATATATACATGGGTTTGATTACAGAAACTAATAAAGTATTCTCTAAATAATGAAAAAATAAAGAATAAGATAAGACTATAAGAGCAAGAAGCAATTTAAATATGTTCAGGGACCATTTTCATCTCCAGAATTAAGGATTATTTTAGTGTTACATCATTGCCTTTTCCCTTTTACTTTCCTTTTTAATTTTGTTTTACGATTCCCTATTTTTAATGTTCATACAGAGATTTCTTTAACTGAAATACTGAATAGTTTCTTTGGTACGAAAAACTACAATAGTACACAGGATCCTAATGAGATAATAATGTGAAATAGGAAGTAAAGGGCTAAAGGTGTAGGGAAAGTGGGAAGGGTGGGGGAAAGGTAATAAGGGAGAGGAAAAAAATATGAGAAACTGAAAAAATGGAAATAAAGTGTAAATGGGGAGGGGAGGAGGGGGTGAAGGGAGGGCAGGGACAAGGGGAAAAAATGAGAACCAAGACCTGTTATGTAAAGGTACAGAATCCCAATGATGAATGTAACTGTATTGTATACCTAGATTGTACCAATAAACTCAATAAAAAGAAAAAAATGATTAATAATAGTTGTTCTCCTTTCTTGATATTAGTAATGTTTGTCTTCTCTCTTATGGATTCACCAGTTTTATTGACTTTTTTGTTTGTTTTTTGAAACAGGATCTTGCTATGTAGTTCAGGCTGGCATCAATCTTGTGGCAATTCTCCTGCCTGAGCCTCCCAAGTGCAGGGATTATGAGTGGGTGTCACTATGCTCAGCAGGATTGACTTTTCAAGAACCAGCTTGCTTCATTTATTTTTTTTTCTTCTGTTTTCTGTTTCTGATTTAGTTGATATGTAATTTTTGTGGTTTTCTTCCTACTTGATTTGGCTTTGTTTTTTACAAATTTTCTTAAATTGAAAGCTTAGATTATTAATTTACACTCTTCTTATATAAGCATTTAATAACACACTCTCTGTTGGTCCAGTCAATTCACATGGTGGAGATCAGGTCAACAGATTTGGAGCCAGGGACTACCTTGTCTAGACAGAGCTGACATAGGAGCAAAGGCAGTGGAGACCTGGGGTGAGGAGTGGAGGTCGCCATTCACCAGCAGCACACAGGGCCCACATGGAGAGGGCTTCCCCTGAGTGCAACTTCTCCACCCCTTGCAACTTCACTGGGTAGTGACCAGACCTAGCAAGTTCCCATCATCACCTGAAACAATTAATTCTGTGCAAACTGAGCTTGTAGTCTCACGCACTCCAAGAATGAAATCGCAAGCCAAAAGGAAGATGTTAGGAAAGTGTACATTGGAAACAGAAGAGCTCCTGGAGTTTGAACATCCAGGAGGGGATTCTGAATGGAAGTCTAGATTGTGTTCTTTGTCCTCATCCTACACGAATGGGGTGGGGTGGGGCTCATTTCAAAGAAATAGAGTTCAAATAAATCGATTATTTTATATTCCTTTTTCAGAGTCCAGTCCAAAGATATGGAGGAACTGTCAACTAATTTGGCATACTCCTCAGAACCTTTTCCTCTGAGAGGAAAGATCCTTATTGATAACCTTTTATCTTTTTGTTTTTGTGTTTTCTCTTAGCTGACTCTATTTTTAGACTGCCTTGCCCAGGTATAGGTTTAATAAGAAAACTATTATAACCTGACAGCAAATCTACTGTCTCTAGGCTCGAGGAAGGTCTGAAAGGAGCCAAATTTGGAACTCATGGGAGAGCAGAGATTAGATGTTGCCTCAGCCCACCTCAAACCTCAGTCAGGCCTCCCCTGCCACCCTACACAGCGAAGGCCCAGCCTTTCTTCTGTGAGTAACAAATGAAGCTGAAGCTGGCTTTGTCCTTTGGAGTGCAAGTTTAAGGGGCACTTCTCTCTGCTGTGGCAGTGTAGGGCCCCTCCAGCACCACCTGCGCTTACACATCCCCTGTGTGCCTGAGATATCCATTCCATCCACCCTCACCTCAGTCTGAAATGCAAAAACAAAAGAGGAAGCAGATACTATCAGTCTCAAAGCTTAACAGAGATGGTCTCAAGGCTGACATTCTCAAGGCTTGCCACTCCTGCTAGACCCACCAAGGTCACTGTGCCCAAAAGATGAACTGCTGAAACAACAGCTGCCTGTTCCTCCCTATGTCTTCTTAAAGATAAACTATAAAAGCAACATTTGCCTCCACCTCCCTACTTTTTTCTGAGTTCTACTTCTGTAAAATTTTGTTTGCTCCCCTGCCCTACCTGAAGAACAAGATAAAAAATGAAAACAAACATAGAAACAGGGCTCAAACTCTGGAAGGTGACTTCCTCTGGCCCTGCTAGTGAATAAACAAATTCTCTGAGTGCCACTCTCTTCCTTGGTCTGCCTGCCTTTTGAGTGCCGCTTTAAGTCCTCTTTGAACAACCAACAGAATGGTCCTGTGACCATCAGGTCTTCATGGTGGTCTCCAGCGAGGGGTGGTGGTCGGGCTGGGGATAGGAGTGCTGGTGGAGGGAAGCGTGTGCTGGGGAAATGTCTGATACATGGGGCAAAGTCAGTGTGATCATCCTGCCCACATGATGCTGGCTGGCTGTGGGATCTGGGCCCAACAGTTAAGGAATCTGGGTCCCTAGCAGCTTCAGTGCACTTGGAACTAGTGCAATCCAAGCCCATAGACTGAAACACCAGGTCCTAGGATTTAAAAAGCCAGTATTAAAGCCCTCTTCACTGGCCAGACGATCGATGGGCCTCTGTAACCTATGATCAAAGTTGTCCTGCTATCCTAGCAATGTCCACTGTTCATTATGATAAAGACAGGGAACCTGAGCATTTCTTCACTTCAACATACTGCCAGGTTCCAAGAAAGGATCTCAGTTGGAAGACACTGATTATTGAGAGTTCTGAAGATATGTGGTATTTAATAGCCACCCATTTGGCCCTGGTGGGTCCATTTTTACAAAAAGCTCTCCATGTTCATAAATCCCATATCTGTTTATTCAACTAGCAGCAGTAGAAAATATTTTAAAATGTTATCTGAATATGTACAGTCTTTTTCATTACTCCCTAGTCGAAACAATACAACATAACTATGATAAAGAGATTTACATTTACTATTATAAGTTATCTAGGAGTGATTTGAAGTATATGAGAGCAAATGCATAGGTTATATGAAATATATTACCTCATTTTACATAAAGGACTTCAGCATTTATGGTTTTGGGTACATACAGCGGGCTCCTGAGCCAATCCCCTACGGACACCAAGGGAAGACTACCTTGCTTTCAGATGCAGTTGACCTGATACATATGAGACAGCTGGCCTAGCTCTCAGTCTTGGGGGACTAACAAACATATCAGGGAATTGAGAGTTAAAAACAAAACAAACAAAAAAACCACTGTCTTCAAGGCTACAGAGTGAAGATAACACCACATCAGCCTCAAAAACTACCATCAGCAGAGATACCAAGAAACAAGAGCTGAGAAAAACAAGACCATTAAAATCAAACCCATGTGGGCTGAGGAGTGGTCTTCCCTGCTCCAAAACCCAATTAGGAACTTCTCAGATGATAAAGAGCAAATTCCAGGTGTTAGGAATGCTTAGAAGAGCCTCTACCTTTATTAGCATAGTAAAAATCACATCCCAAGGTGGAGACTTAAAATGGCAATGACTGTCACTTACAGATATGACAAAAAGAGATCCAACACAATTTAAATTCTATCTCCACGTGTGGCTGCCTCAAGACACCAGGTCCTCACCACCTTACAGGTGAAATAAAAGCTGTTCACCTTTGCCCGTGGTTGATAGCAGCATCTCCCCCAACCCCACCGCCCACTTTCTCCCTTGTGCAAAGAGAAACTACCTTGTTTCTGAGCCTGAAAGCACAAGAACCCACTGAGTTGGGTACACACACACACACACACACACACACACACACACAACTTTCACGTAAGGTCATTCGTCACAGCATTCTTTGTGATAGTAGTCCCCTAAATGTCCCCAGTAAGACTCTACAGTAATTATGTTGCCACAAAGATTATTGTGAGGTTTGAAAACAAGAGGTAGAACTTTATGTGACATGAATGATATGCAACCAACAGATCCATCAGTGGTCAGAAAAGCAAAGTTCATTCTTTGAAGGACATTTTAAATTTGTCACAGGCAGTACGGACATCCCAAGAATTGCTCATGGGGCTTTGCACTATTTTCAACCTCATTTTACAAATGAGGAAACTGGTTTGTGAGTTGAGAAAGCATTCCATTATGTAGCTGTGTACACATGAATTTTTTGGAAGCACTGGTTAAAAAAGAAACGACTATCCATAGGGCCTGGCTTCTAGGATTTAAATGTGGGGCCAAGGTATTGGCCTTTGGCTATCTTAATTTTGCATGTTTAATGCCATGCACCTCTTCTAAGTTAAAATCTCTAATTCGAAGAATTAGAAATGTATTTCAAGAGCCAAAAACGAAGGACATTTGGGTTGCCAGAATCTGCTTGTGAACAGCCAAGTTGAGCAACGCAACACTGACGACATAGGGCTCACATGAAAATACATTCATCTTAAAAAATTTAAAATCGCCAACTAAGCTTATGAAAGATGGTTTATCTTCAAAGTGGTGATAATTTCTCCACATTTAAAGCAGAGAAAACACACGCGAGCAGTTAAACGCCAACTCTTCAAAAGACTCCTTAGTACGGCCTAATTCGCTCTCCCGGTGGTCGTGGCCTAAGAAGCAGCCTTTGAGCCTCGGGCGCCGCACCCGCCCCAGCTGTTCCCTCTCCGTTCCCGCCCACTCAGGCTACTATCCGTGAGGCTGCCCGACTGCCAAAGACGCTAGGGTACAAACGGCGTTTCCAGAGGAGGCAGCACAAAACCCAGAAGCTACCGCCTACTCCCGGCCAAGAGCTTAGACGTCATCAGACAGCGACCGCCCAGGACCAATCAGAATGTCAGCTGGGAACGCCGCCTGCGCCACGTGATCCTGGAACCCCACCTCTCCAAGGTCTGGAGAACCCCGACCAGGGGCCGGGGTGGACGTGAGCTGCCGGATGGGTGGGGAGAATTCCAGGTGGGCGGGACCAGGACCCGGGGCTTTGTTAGGCGTTTTCGTGTTTGTCTTAGTGTTGAGAATTTGGAAAATTTTCTTTCCATTATGTTTCTGCAGTCTTACTTTTTAAACCAGAAACTATGTGAATAGTGTAGCTGTTTTTACCCAGAATAAGGTGAATATTTCCCTATTAGACTTTTTTTTCCTCCCTTTGTAGTTCAGGCTGGCCCTTAACTATGCAGCACGCACAGGCTGGCCTGGAACTCGTGGAGATCCTCTTGCCTCAGCCTCCCGAGTGCTGGGTTTATAGGCGTGCACCACCACTCTGAGCTTTTCTGTTAGACTTTTAAACATGTTATTTGCACTTATTTTATGCTGAATTTATTCCCAAGCCATGTTTTTGTTTTCTAATTTCTCTGGGACTTTCAATTCCGTGCAGTTGCCTCTCTTGTCAGTGGTCATCATCTCTGTGGGGAAGGGGCTCCTGGCGCTGTGTGGCCTATGCTAAACTAGCGCCACGGTGCGCTGTGTTCTTACGCATGCGCAGTGGAGGCTCAGTGGCTGCTTGGGCCAATGAGCGGAGCCCAGTCCCACTGGGAGGCCGCAGCAGACCATTCAGCCCCACCCTTACTACGTATGCCCAAGCAAGCTGCTTCCTTACAGTGACTTCCTGCATATGTCTGTGGCCTTTGGTGTTTGCACACCCTTGGTGGCCTGGGTTCTTCTGTTGCCCATCAGCCCACAGTTCTTTTTTTGGTTTTGTTTTTTTGAGACAGGGTCTCACTATGTAGTTGAGACTGCTCTGGAACTCACCGTGTAGCCCAGGCTGATCGCAAACAGAGATCCTCCTGCCTCAGCCTCCTGAGTGCGAGGATTACAGGCCTGCGCCACCATGCCCAGCTTGCCAACAATTCTTTTGTTCAGTTCAGAAGGAAAATCTTTAATTGCCAAGTGCATCTCTGCCAGTAGTCCTGATGTCACCAGATGGCACAAGATAGTGCTGGATGCCAATAGTTGACACAGCCAACTGTTGGTCACTGCCACCGCTGGCCTCTGTCTTCTGCTGCTGGCTTGTGCCAGACTCTAGGGCAGGGATGGCAAAAGTTTTAGAGATAAGTGCCCATACTGCAACCCCAAGCCCACTATTTATTGCAAAGTGCCAACACTTCAATTAAACCCGAATACTGAGGTTTTAGTTTAGAAAAAAACTCCTACAGTAACATCTTTTGTTTTAAAAGGAAAACAACACATGTGCCACAGGTTCGATACCACTACTCCTGGTCAACCCTGCCAGGTGCTGGTCTGTGCTGCTGGTCTTCACTGGCTCCTGATCTCTGGAGCTTTTGGGGCATTAACAGCTTTGAATGTTTAATGCCTTTTCTTTGGAAACAACCACTATCTTAATATTTTTCAAGATAAGAACCCTGAGTAGATTTACAGGACTTTGGAGCCCACACACTGAAAAATAATTCATGGGCGGGTTTCCAGTCTTTATTTCAACAGGTGCCTCAGACGTTGTTGTCCTTGAGAGGAGGTGGCAGCTCCAGCAGGAAGTGTTGCCACTAACTGGAGCCCTCACTTTTAGTAATAATGGAATTAAAACTGATGCAGCAATTTACAGAAAAAAAAGTTTTAATTGGAAAGTTAGAACGTAGGGAAGGACTCCAGCTCGGTGGTTGGAGTGGGCACACCCTGACACAGGGGTCAGCCTGGCCCACTCCAAAGGTGGGAGGGAGGCCAGCTTCTCAGGGGAGCTGTAGGGCTGGAGTCCTGATCATGACCTCCGGCCTGGTGTCAACAGCTCCGGAGTCTTTATGACTGGAGATAGTTTCCTTCTTAGGTTTGAGACAGTGGTGCTAACTTCTCAGGCATAGTTGGATGTCCCTGGAAATTGCTTACCCTGGAGTCTTTAGTTGTTGGGGGGATGAGGGTTATGTAAACTCAGGGCTAACCCAGATATGTAGACTTTTAGACACACTACCTAAATAACACCTGCATATGCAGAGCCCTGTTTTGGTTTTAGTTACCTAATGGGCATCTGTAGGTCCAGGTGAAGAGTTAATGTTCACGGTGTTTAAATCCGTGGTTTTCCTAGGAGAAAATACAAGTCCTGCTTTTAATGGGCATTGGGTGAGGGCCCAGGATCTGCCTTTCCCCACCCTTGTGGCCATCTCTAGCTGTGTTCCTGCTGCTCTACAAACAGAGCATGCTGTGTGCACCTACTCAGAGGGGGTCCCTGTTCACTCTTATGTAGAACCCCCTTTTAGTTTTGAGACCCCAAGATTTTCCCAACCCTCAGCAACAATCTGAGCATGATATGGCCTGAATATATTTCTACACTTAGAGGACTTCACATTCTTTCAGGGTAAGTTTGAAACCACAATCTTGTAGCAATTTTAGCTATAGTTAATGGTTAAGGAAGCAAAGAAAAATCTCACCTTCTTTGTTTTTCAGGTAGCACTCAGCCGCCCACCTGCCCTAGCCTGTTACAGACTGTTAGCCCAACATTATCAACCTCAGAAGGACTTCAGGGTGAGAAGGAACGGCCTGCAGAAGCCTGGCCTCAAACTGTGTTGACCACCCACACTGTTGCCCACAGGGGCCTGGACTCCACCGAGGGGAGATGGGAGACTGCGCTTTTGAATCACACACCTGCTATAATGTCTTGGGAAGGATATGCACCATGCCACTCCATGCCACACCACTGCTCTGCTGGAACACATAGCTACCAGAATCCTGCCATAATTGTAAACCCTCAGCTTCAGTAATGAATTAAAGAGGCAGACTTTAAAAGACTATTTGGGAAAAGATGGAAAAAGGAAGATAGGTAGCTACCTTGGAAGAGTAGCGCACATCAGAAGTGAATACCCACGGATTTTTGTCATGGGCCTCTTTTTATTTAGGACTAGTGATTTTTCCCATCCCCCACGTGGGCACCTGGAAGTTGTCACCATCTGATTGGCCCTCTGGCTGCCTTTGATCCTAACCTGGCACTTCTATCTGCTTTCTTTCTGGCCTTTGATTCCTTTCTGCCCTTTTGCGATGGGTGGGGTGCTTACAGAAAAGTAACTTAGAGTTAATGACCAGGCAAAGGGGACAGATATGTATCTGGTGGAGGAATACTGATGCTAAACTGAATCTTGTCTCCTTTGCATTTTATCAGAGGTGGGTGAGGGGGCTGATTTCCCAGGTCTTTCAAATTTCTGGCTTCCTTCTTGCTTTGTTAACTCTTTCTGATAAATTCCCATGGTAACTGTGCTACCTGGTGCCTCACTGTTGTGTCTGTCAGTCTGCATGCCTGCCTGTGTAATTACTCTTAACTGCAGAGTCTACCCATGGAGGCAGAAGCTGCCCCCAGTAAGATTTACCATTAATTTTTAAATAAAGCCTATCTTTTTCCTGCCTAGAAGCTCCCTTTCACTACACTGGGGAAGGTACTATGTATCCAAAATATAAAAGGACTATTAATACACTTACAACTCAATTTAATAATGGGCAAAGAATGTGAAGAGAGATTGCTCCATAGGAGATACACAGATGGCCAACACGCTTTAGGAGAAGCCAGCCACCTTTTCCTAAGGCTAAACAGTCATTAAAATAATTCCAGGCCTGCTGAGCAACAGTGAAAAGCGATTTTGTCAGGTCTCCTGGAGTCAAGGACCACAGTACTGAGTCCACCTCAAGAAAGATCGCCCATCTTTCCTCACAGATTTACCGGGTTTCTGCTGTGTGGGCAGCCGGCCCTCGGGTCCTGCCTGACGGGGAGACACAAGTGAAAATCATCTCCAACTCAACCCTCCCCACGAAGGAAACGTCAAACTAGACGCGATGCTCACACGGCCCGCTGAGAGCCCGCAAACACAGCCCGCCCGTCCACACCGCGGGCTCTGGGTTGGGAAGCCGCTCACCCACCCGGCTCCGCTAACCACTGGGCACGGATGGCCCTGTGATGGCTAATGAGCTTTATCCGGTGGGGGAAAAACAAACTCCTCGCTTTGCGACAGGAGGCAAGTTTTGCGACTTGAGGCGACACAAATTGGGCTCCTGCCCCCGGTACTCGCGTTTCAGAGCCGCCCTCATTCTAGGCTGTGAAGCAGCACTGGACCAAGCAGTTTCCTGTTCGAGACGGTCCCCAGTTACCTTTTAGGGCACCCTCTCACTTCCCACAGGGCAAGTTAAACTCAACTTTAATTTGCATTTGTCTTTATCTCCCTGACTCAGGGTCTAAGACAGGCAATAAACAGCAGTCGCAGGAAGCAAAGTCAGCTATGTGCCGCGAAGGCAAACTGGACCTTAGCCGCTCTTTCGTTGCGGGTTTAGTTAGGATTAAGGTCTGGGTGCAAACAGCAGGACGGAGAACCTCCTGGCAGCAGCTGCGTCTGCCCCGGGGGATGACTCCGACCGCGAGCCTGGGCAGCAGACTGCGGACACTGCAGATGCCCAGTAGGGCACGGACCCATCCCCCGAACCTCCTGTGGGAAGCCGGCCGCGGGCCACACGCAACACGCGGGCTGAGCACCGCAAAGCGAGAAAGGAACGCTAGAACTAACGCTCGCGGGATTGAGTCTCCGACCGCTCCTCCCCGAGCCTGCAACGTCACCTCCTATGCAGGCGCAAGCAGCGGTGGCAGAGTTTACGTAATCCGACGCAGCCCACCGGTCGCCCCGCCCTGTGCACGTTTGGTCACGTAGCTCCGCTCGAGCGTCAACCGCAGCCGGACGTGCGCACGCAG